GCCAGCCAAGACGAAGGCTCTCCAGACTGTCATTGAAATGAAGGTAGGAGCTGTTCACATTTCTCAAAAACAGCTGTTCCCCTGGAGTTTGTTCTAAACTTGATGGTGCCTAACACAAACATGTGAAATGAACCTTGTGTTTTTCTCTAGACACCCTAGACACCCTGGTGGGTGCTTTTCTTCTTGATTTTTTTTTTTTTTTTTGGCCTTCTCTGGTGCATTTAATTTATTGGCCCTTTAATTAGGATGCCTTTTCTGGGCAAAAGAATAAAGGGCTCAAGTATCCCTTGTCTCAAAGGAGCTGGGTTGATTTCCAGAGCATAGCCAATGCTTTCAACCCTAAGAGAGGTTTTGTGTGTGCTTTAAAAGTAAATTTCTAAAGCTAGAGTAATTCTTTTTTTCCTCCCATTCACATTACAATGAAAAGATACCTTGAGAAACTAAGATTTGCAAAGAGAAGTTGTTGTACATGCAATGGAGGCGTTAAATGATTAAAATTATGCTATCAGCAAAATTTACTTTTCAAAGAATAATACTTTCTTATGACTCCAGTATTTTCTCCTAACCAAGTCTGGAATTAACAATAATTTATTAAATACTCACAAGGTATTCTATTTAGCAGTGGATGCATAGAGATATTTAAAAGAAGCAAAGATCCTCCTGCATGGATTTAGGGCATTTAAAGAATAATGAAGTAAATAATGATGAGCAAGCTGTAAAGAAACAGATCTAAATGAAAGCCAGTTTCTTTGTCAGTTGATAGAAATTTGAAGTCTTTTTACTTCTAGTTTTTGACAGAAGGAAGTAAATAGTATTTATCTTAAGAATAAATAATTCTTGATTTACGTTGTTCCCTGAAGAAAAAAAATTTATAATGATGATGTTTGCAATCTGGTTATTTCATGCATAAGTTTAACATTTGAGAGTTTGCCGGTCACCATCATCCTACAAAAGACTTCTGAAACTTGTTGATAGGGTAATGATTTTTCTGTCTTGTAGCACATGATTTTGAATTGTCTGCCCCCAAATTCCCAAGTCCTGGGGAAAAAGAAACTAATACGAGCTACTGAGTTCCTGGCGTGTACAATTCTGACTTCGTATTTTTTTTTCTAGTCAATGACAGTGTCTTCATCCAAGTGGATTTTTGTGGAAATAATGTAGAACATTTGCTTTAAAACTTTATGTCCCCTAACTGAGGTTACAGGATTCAAGGCACTTATACTGCATTTGTAGCAAATTGGTTTGAAAAATATTATCAAAGGGATCAAATGATAGTAAGATTTTAAAAAAGTTAATATTGGCTCATCAATTCATTTTGAATTTGTGTAATTTTTACTTAGCACTATTTTGAAAATAAACTTACCATTCTATACTTGTGGGGGAGTGTAGAATCTCATAACTGAGATTTCATCCTCACTTCACATTGGAACCAAACTTGAAACTTGGCTAAGGCTTAAAAGAAAAAAAGAGAAGACTAAAGATTTTATTTTATTTTTTTTGCAAAGAGTCATTTAGTCCTCCTTCTACCCACCTACATACCTCCCTCCCCAGTTCCAGCACAATTAGTAATAGAAGAGGATGTATATAAAACTATTTCCAAATTATCTTTAAAAAAAAAAAAAAAAAGTAAAGATTGAGTTTCAGAAACCTTTGGAGAAACCAGGAATGACATCTATCGCAGAGCAGTGGGCATTTTCCTGATAAAGTTCTCTGTACAATTAGTAATTTTTTGTGACTTTTACAAGTAGAAACTCTGATTATAGCTTACTCTTTTTTAGCATCATATGTTTTATTAGAAAACAAAAAATAGTAAATAAAGCACTCATTTAGGCTATCTACATGAGAAGGCATAAAATATAATTTTTAGGGCACATTCACATCCATATGTTATCAGTAAATTGAGTCCAGAGGGTTTTTTTTTTTTTTAAATGGATGCCAGTGATCCTGATTTGTAGAAGAACACATTTATTTTTAGGACATTGATAGTCAATATACTTATATACTTGTCAGGGAACTGAGCCTGGAGTTTTTCTTTTGTCTTTTGGTTGCGTGTTAATTTACAAAGCACTGCCTTCTGTTTTGTCAGTGGAGAAGTCTGGGTCCCATTAGCATCTATACTTAACATGCATAAATTGAGTTATGGAGGCAGCTGGTAGAGGGTCATCTCCTCAGCCATGTGTAGGTTGTGACAGAGCCTGTGATCTCTTCTGATTTTGTATATTATATCTGTTTGAAATTGGAGGGAATATTGGAAAGCCATATTCTACAAGACTTAGGGTTGACTACCAAATAGAACTGACCCTTAAACCTGATGGGTGGGACTTGAGACATTGGTTGTATTTTAATTTAAACACCTTGGGTAAACATCAGTATCATCTAGTGCCTTGGCAAAATCTGAAGTTAAAAGGAGCTTTCCTAGAGTAATTTGGACCTTTAGTTTCAGGGAGATGACACGAGTTAAGGTTTAGAGCTTACCCCTACTTTTCCCTTGCTTCTTAGAGAAACTGAGGGTGAAATTGTGACTCCTCATCTTCATCTGCACACACCAAAGTGGGGGCAATTCGCTTGCAGCCATGACAGCTGCTGCCAGCCAGTTGAACCAGGGGGGCTAAAGTCACCTGAATGAAAATAAAAGGAAGCAAAGTGAATGAAGTTATTTGTGATTTATCTTACTGCAGGAAGCACCAAGTTTTAATTTTGATCTTGGTTTGGTCTGGCAGGTATGTTCCAAGTTTGCACTTAGAACATTGCATGTGTTTTTCAGAAAAGTCAGTTTTTTCGTAAATGTTGCAGTACTCCTCCGTTTCTTGCTTTTGTGTCTAAAGATTCTTAGCTTCTCTTTTCTGCTCTTATGGAGAACTGTCAATAAAAAGGTAGTTAAAAGGGCTTGTTTCCTCTTTTTTCTTTAATGTTAATTCCTTTGAAAGAATGTGTTTTTAACCTACTTTTATTATAAATTTGACATGACATAAACAAAAGTTTTACTTTCTTGGGTTCATTCATAAAGCTCTATCCAGTTTTTTAAAAAAATTTTATTTATTTTTGGCTGCGTTGGGTCTTCGTTGCTGTGTGCGGGCTTTCTCTAGTTGTGGCGAGCGGGGGCTACTCTTCGTTGTGGTGTGCGGGCTTCTTATTGCAGTGGCTTCTCTTGTTGCAGAGCACAGGCTCTATGCACACAGGCTTCAGTAGTTGTGGCTCACAGGCTCTAGAGAGCAGGCTCAGTAGTTGTGGCGCACGGGCTTAGTTGCTTCGCGACATGTGGGATCTTCTGGACTGGGGAATGAACCCATGTCCCCTGCATTGGCAGGCGGATTCTTAAACACTGTGCCACCAGAGAAGTCCCCCCCCTTTTTCTTTTTTTTTTAACAAAAATGAATTACAGTAGTGACAGTATTTGTCAGATAATCTCAAAATTTTTTTTCTTTGTTAGTTAAAACTTCTAAGTGAATGAAAATCTAATTCAAAATGGCTAAAGCCTAAAAGGAGTGTACCCTTTCCACTTAACTGGAAAAACTGGTATTGCTTCAGGCATAGCTTGATCCTGGGGCTCAAAAGATGTTAACAGATTCCATTTTCTCTCATTCCATCTCTTATTTTAGCTTTCTTCACATGAGCTGTTTTCAGACAGCCCCTTTCTGCCTGTGTGAGCAAGATGGCTGCAGCATCTCCAATAATCACAGAAGGAAGGGACAGGGAGAAAGTTGTGTTTTTAAAAAATGCAAAAAAACGAACCAACCCTAGAATAATAATAATTACTGAGAATGGAGCATAAACCTTCACTCCAAATTTAACAGCTCAGGCTGTAAGAAAAAGCATGGAATTTCCTAATTCTCATTTGCTTTAATAAATTAAATGACATTCATTAAGAAAAACAAACTTTATGCTAGCACTGAATTCAGCAGAATTTATCAAATGGGACATACATGAGTGACATAAGCGTTTTAGTAAGAGTCACAGAAAATGTACTTGATCTGGTGAACTTGTTAACTAAAGTGGATTAAGAAGTTAGGGGTATAATGTGACTATGTGACAATATTTCTGTGGTAACTGAAGTGAGAATTGTAGTTATTTAGGTTTCTCGTCACATGACCAGCCGCTGCACTTGTGTGTCATGAGTGGTGGTTCTTGTGTAACATTTACGCCAATGAGCTTTTCTATGGAAACTGAGTAGTAAGCAATTCAAGATTGAGCTTGACGAAATTGCTGCCTTGTAGATGTGCTATTGATGAAAGAATATGACTTTGCATTCAGGTGCTAACTCTATGGTGAGGTTGATCTTTTGCTTTTAAAACTAAAAACCAAGACTTATCTTTGTGTTCAGGCAGATGTCTGCTGTTCTTCTGCATGGGGTTGACTGACCTGTAGTTGAGTTAATTTTCTCTTAAGAGATAACTTGGTGTCTGATCAAATTCAGTCAATTCAGTTTCGCTAGGCATGGAAGGGATACAGTGGAACATGGAGAAGGCAAGAACTACTTGGTAACTTTTCCCAACATCTCATAGCTAGGAAGGGAGAGATTTCAAATTCAAACCTTGGCCATTGAAAGTATCCCATCTCCTAGTGTGAATTTAATTTGAGTCTTGGGATCTGGTCAGGAATACCATGAAGTGGCTTAAATGTTTTCTTTGGCTCTAGGGCCTACGCCGGTTTATTTCATCCATATTTTGAACTGTTACTTATCTGAGTCTAAACACTGCACTCAGCATTGTTTCTTCTCCCAAGATGATGTGTTTGTAGCAAATTGGTGTCAAGCCTCGTTTTTTCTAATCAAGCCAGTTTGATGGCTTTTTAGGCCTTAAAAATAGGCCATAGCTCCTTTTGTGGCTACTAAACAGAATAACAGCAATAACAACAAAATTACCACCTGCATCACCAGTGACAGCTATAGCCCGAACACCACTCCACACATGTGGAGTCAGGTGCAAGGCATCTGACGTATGACCCATGAGTAGGTAAAATTAGCCCCATTTCACAGATGAGAAAGTCATGGTTTAGAGAAGATGAGCAACCTGCCCAAGGTCGTACAGCTGGTAGGTTGGCAGCTGAGATTTGAACATGGGTTTCTTCTCTGAAGTTCTTAGACTCTCTACTCTTCCAGTCTGCTTTTACTGAAGAGGACCCATCAGTTCAACTAGTTTTTCTTTCCACACTTTGGAAATTATGCACTGAGTTTTGCATCGTAGAACAGGTTGAGGCAGCTCATGAGAGCTGGAAAGTTCTATTTGATATATTTGGAAAGGGGCAATATTGTACATTGTGCTGTAAGGCAAGATTCATCCTTTTTACATGTATATGTTATCAGTCCTGCACATGGGGCTCCAAATATGTACCCTACAGCCAACATATGCCCTGGTTTTTTTCCTTGAGTTTTAAGTCTTGCCCTGAAGCCTTTATAGTAGTGTGGAGCATAACTCATTTAAACTTGCAAAGCCCTGTGTTTTTGATGTGCCCTATCCACTTATGATACCAGAAATTATCCTTTAGCCTTTTTTTTTCTTGAGAAATTTCTTCATTTTCTCATCTTTCAACTTAAATGGGACACGGTTTTGTGTTCTTTTTTTAACTATTTTCCTTAAATAAGGGGAAAAATGTGGGTTTTAAGTGATAGCCAGAAAAAGCAAAATGTCAAGTTAAATGTTAGCTCTGGATGATATATGGTTGTCATTTAGAAGCAAGGAAGATTAAAAAAGTGAGACTTTTTTTTTGCCCAAACTCTTCTTATATGTGTTTGAATCTAAATGTTTGAGTTGCTAATTGATAATTCCTGCTATAAACAGGTTTATTTTGTGTGACTATAACTCCTGAAGTTGAATTACAAATACCTGTGCTTACCAAGCAGCTATATTGTATACAGCACCATGGTGGGCCTTTCAGAAAAAGTGAGCGCTCAGTCTTTAAGGGGCTAGTGGAAGGGAGTATATAAGCCTGGATCTAAATAGTGACCTAAGAACAGCAAAATGGGCTGCAGAGACTCAGAGGATATCAAATAAGAGAGGGACAGGGAATGCTTCTTGGAGGAGATAGCATTTGGGGAGGGCCTTGAAAAAGGTGGCATGATTTTGATAGTGGGTAGAAGGATTATTTATAAACAGTGGGAACCATATCAGCAAAGGCAAGGAGGTTGGAAATTATGAGACGTGTCTGGGGAAGAGCAAGTCATGCAGTTTGGTTGAGAGAAGACTTTTTAAATTTAAAAAGCAATGGAAGATCAAATGAAACCATAAGAATGTGGGAGAAAAGAAATAATAGAGATAAAAGCTGAAATTAATGAAATAGAAACCAAACATATACAACAGGGGAATATAAAAGCTAAACACTGATTCTTTGAAGAGATTAACAGATCTCCTGGTCAGAATCATTGAGAAAAATAGAGACAGACAAACAATACCAGGATTGAAAGGGGGCATCACTATCAATCTTACTGACTTAAAAAATATCAAGGGATTTTATTAACAACATTGTGATAATAAAGTTGAAATTTTAGATTAATTCTTTTAAAAATACAACTTATCAAAACTGGATGAGAAGAAACAGAATAACTAGAATATCTGAGTAGTCCTGTATATTAAAGAAAATGTTTCTATGATTTGAAACCTTACCACCAAAAAAAATATCTAAAAAACAAACCAAACAAAAAATCCCGTAGTCCCAGATGGCTTCTTCAATGAATTTTACTAGACATTTGAAGAAAAAATGGTATCAGTCATACAGAAACTATACCAGAGAATAGAAAAAGAGGAAACACTTCCCATTTTATTTTATGAATCCGGTATAACCTTGATATCAATACCCAACAAAGCCATTACAAGAAAGGAAGATTACAAACAATCTCTCATAAACATCAGTGCAAAATATTCTAATGAACTGAATGCAGTGACAGTGACTAAGTTGTGCTTATTCCAGGAAGGCAGGGTTGGACTAATATTTGGATATCAATCAATGTTATTTACCACATTAACAGGATAAAGGAGAAAAATTAATTTCAATGAATGTGGAGAAAGCATTTGATAAATGCAGCATTCATTTATGCTAAAAAACCTAAAAAACGCTTTTATCAGACTTAGATTAGGAGAGAATTTTAATCTGATAAGAGGTAGCTACAAGAAAGCTACAGCAAGTATCATATTTAATGGTAAAATATATAAAGCTTTCCTTATAATATAAGGAAAAAGACAAGAATGCCTATTACTATCACTTCTACTCAACAATATTCTGGATATCCTAGGTATAAGAATTATAAAGGAAGAAATAAAACCCTTTTATTCACAGGCACCATAATTTTGTGTGTAAAAAATCTCAATGCATCCATATATAAACTACTAGATTAATAAATGAACTTAAACAGCTGGTCAGTATATAAAAATGAATCACCTGCATACCAGTAACAAACAATTATGAAATGAAATTTAGAAAACAGTATAATTTAGGATGGTATTAAAAAACCCAAAACATCTAGGAGCAAATCTGACAATGGTAAGCAAGACCTAATTTAAATAGAAGGTACAAAACATAATTACATATGGAATAACCAAAAACTTGAAACAAATGAAATAGCTATCAACAGTGGAGTGGATAAATAAACAGTGAAATATTCATACAATGAAATGCTATATGGCAATGTGAAGGCACAAGCTATTGCTTCCTGTAACAACATAATTGAATAACTCCAAAACGGTGTGGAAGGAAGCCAGACACAAAAGAATACATACAATATGATTCTATTTGTATGTGTTCCAAAAATAGACAAAAGTAATCAATAGTGTTAGATGTCTGGATAGTGGTTAATCTGGAGGAGGAGGGAGGGTGGGGAGGTTGGGAGGGGGAGTGAACGAAGCTTCTGGAGTAGAAGTAATATTCTATTTTATGTTATGGTTTGTATGTAATCAGCCATGTTCACTTTATCATAATTCATCACACTGAAAACCTGTGATTTGGCTACTTTCCTATGTATAGTATACTTTAATTACAAAGTTCATTGAAAAATAAAGGAAGAAAAAGTCAAAAGTAAAAAGACAAATAATGCTATTAAAAATTGGGCAAAGGATTTGAATAGGCATTTCTTCAATGGAAACATGCAAATGGCCAATAAGGACATGAAAGGATGTCCAGTGTGATTTGTCAAAAGGGAAATGTAAATCTAAACCACAATTAGATAAAACTTAGCCCCCACTAGGATGGCTAAGATAAAAAGAGAGACAATAACAAGTGTTGGGAAGATGTGGAAAAGCTGGACCCTCATGTATTGATGGTAGGAATCTAAAATGGTTCAGTCCATTTTTGAAAACTCTTTGGCAGTTCTTCAAAATGTTAAATGTAGAGTTACCATATACACCCAAACAACTTGAAAACGTGTACACACAAAAACCTATACACAGATGTTCATATTATAATTGTTAATAATAGTCAAAAACCTAAAGCAACCCAAATGTTCACTATCTTGTATGAATAAACAAAATATGGTATATCCATATAGTGGAATATTATTCAGCACTGAAAAGAAGTGAAGGACTGATACATGCTATAACATTGATGAGCCTTGAAAACATGCTAAATGAGAGAAGCCAGTTGCAGAAGGCATCTTATATGATTCCATTTATATGAAATTTCCAGTATAGGCCTATCCATAGAGATAGAAAGTAGATTACTGGTTGCAGGGAGCTAAGGGGAGAGGAGAAAAAGGAGTGACTGCTAATAGGTACAACAATTTGGGGTGATGAAATTATTCTGGAATTAGATCGTGGTGATGGTTGCATGGATCACTGAATTGTACACTTTAAAAAAGTGAATTTTATGGTATAAATATTGTATATCAACAAAGCCATTATTAAAAAATGAAGATATTATAAAAGAAAGGGTCAATAACTTTGGTTACTCAAAGATTAAAAAATAAAATCAATTATAGAATAACCAACTAGGAGATGCATTTCTAAGGTGTATAGTAGTTACAGTCTTAATAATATATAAAGAGGTTATATTTATCAGTGTGGAATAAAAGCTTGGGGAAAAAAACGTACCAAAATGTTGACACTAATTCTAGAAGGGGAGATTAGAAAGGATTTTTTTCTTCTTTCTCCCCCCTATATTTTTATGTTTTCAGTAGTGTGCATTCATTATATAGGGATGATCAGGAATTATAATTTAGGAAAAACATCAATAAGTTTGTTGAAAGAAAAACCATCTATCAGAAGTCTTAAAGATACACAGTTTCTTGTATTCTGGTTTCTTTTGCTGAACTGAAAAGGCTCCAAAGTGGAGAAGGTTATGTTATTTATGGAAATTGAGAATCTGGTCCTGCCACTTAGTGCTTCTCTGAAGTCCAGCTTTCTCTTCTGTAAGATGGGACCATGATACCAGGCTGCGCGGAATTGCGGTGGGAATTAAAATGTCTTAAGGCGTGGGAAAATCCTGGCATACAATAGATGCTCAAGGAATTCTCTGCTCCTCCATCCCTTCCTTTTCAGTCTGAAAATTGAATTTTACCTGTTAAAAAAAAAAAAAAGGTGGTACCTTTGAGCAAGGACCACCAGAGAGAAAGAGTTTAACAAGCTTACTTCAGAGTCTTAGCTCTGAATTTAGCACAGTTTGCATGTGGAAAGACTTTAAAAGTGTCTTTGAAATGAGAAACCAGTGGAGAAAAAAATAGCAACTCCCAGTAGGCCTGTGGTATAATAAATGACCCAGGGACTTTGCTGGGTCCTTGGCAAGTCACTTGTCCCCTCTGGCTCTCACTATTCTCATTTGGCAAATGAAGGGATTGAACAAAGTGTCCTGCTTTAAAAATTCTACTGAGTCTGGAGGTTTGGTGACCGGCAATTTGGACTCTCAGAGGGCCTGCCTGGGGAGTCTGAATTGACATGGCATTCTTGCAAAGTTTAAAGCTTTGTTTTGTTTGCTCCATCTTGGCCAACTCTGCTCAGGCCAGCAGCCCCTGCCCTCTCCCTTGTTGGTGCTCAGGTTCCCAGCTTATTGTTTATTTAGGCATTGCAGTTTCCTTATTGACGTGCTCACCCCCCTCCAGCGGAGTTGAGAAGTCAACCACAGGCCTCAAGTGAACTCCCCCTTCAACTTTCAGTAATGACAGTGTACCGGCCGTCACATGCCTCATCCCTAAGGCATGGTCCACTTTCCACATCCCTCAGGCCTTGTTGGTGACTTGGGGTGGCCTGAATTCCTCTGCCGCCTGTTGCTTTTTCCATGAGACAAGCTTGTTGAACATAGAAGGATTTGCAGTATGTTTTGGAGATCCTGAGAATGAGGCCCCAAACCAGGGCTGTTGGGGGCTTTGGGGGTGTGTTAAAAGGAATTGGAAGAGTGAGTTCAGGTTGCTAGAAGGCCAGTAAGGAGAACTTCTTCACCTGATCTTTTCCCAAAGAGTGTTGGAAGAGAATAGAAGTGTCAGGTGTCTGTCTTTTTATTACTCCCTGAAATGCATTCACAATTTTGCAAAGTAGTATTTCACTGAATTTCTGGAAATTCAAGCATTCTTTGTATTCAAATGTTTGTGAAAGATAACATGGATCCAGCCTTGGGAGGGCAGGCTGCATACACCGAGGGGCTACCCTGTCATCTGGAAGCAGTTTCTGAAATTTCTTCCTCCTTTTCCTCTCTTCCCAACATCTTCACTGTTTCCTTTTGACCTTGCTCTGTGATCTTTAAAGGCTAAAAGTACTGTGTGGAGGAAAGGACCAAAAGAGCCCAGCTTCTAGGTGGCTGACTGTCTCTGAGGCCAGTCTGTCCTGAGGTTGTCCTGGGAACAGCAAGGTCACAGTGTGTGGCCTCCTCACTCCTATTCAAGGGAAGGCTATGTGGAGGGAATCATTCCAGTTTGTGAAAGGTGTTTAAAAAATGATTAGAGAAGATAATTACGGTGATACAAACAAACACTTCATGAAGTGTTATCATGAAGCAGGCAGTCTTCATTTGGAGAACTGCAAAATGGGGTGGAAGGTAGGAAGGTTTTATAGGATAAGGAAAAGAGAACAAGGAAGAGAAAAATAGAAAGCATCTGATTGGCTGGGGCGGCATAGTCAACCTTGTTTGAGGTGAAAAGGAATAAGGGAATAAGTTCTGAGCCCAGAGTTGGTTTAGTGTTTGGGGATTGGCTGACTGGATATACTGTGTTTCTGGTCTAGTAGAACATTTACAGGCACATGGAAGTTAAAAGTTTTGGTTTGTTGATATGGCACCCTCTTGAGCCCAGAAAGTTATTTCAACAAAAGAGAAAATCTTAGGCAAGTTATTTCCCTTTTGTGGATATCCTGACGTATAAACTAGGTAAAATAAATACTTAATTCGTAGGGTTATGGGCAAGATTAAATGAGATTTTCTAGCACAGTGCTTGCCTTAGTAATCAATACACATTAGCTGATGTTGTTATTAATCCGTTTTTAGTACCAGAATGGAGAAACATTGTTTGCTTCTGTCCTATGCTATTCCTGTCTGTATATTCAGATAATGCATAGATATTTATATTGTAGCATAAATGGGGAAGAAAATGTAGGCATAAAAAAAATCTTTTGATGTGTTTTTCCCCAGCCCAAGGAACTTGCAAATAGATGCAGATCTTTGTGTCACCCTGTCCTTAAAGGGAATGTCTTTAGAGGCCAAGTCATTGTTAGTTAAAACACGCACACGCACGCGCACACACACACACACACACACACAACCACAAAAAAGTAGTTTCTGATGCACCTAGTCCACAGGTTGGTACTGGAGAGGCTCTGTATTAGGCTGTCTCACAGGCACATGGATATGATTTTGGGTTAGCCAGTGCTCCCTTCCATGCCTTGGAAGCGTGGGAAACTCTCACTATTAATTGCAGCAGCTTTCTATGTAGGGCTGATACTCAACTGAGAGGCATAGGTATAGCTATACTGATTGTTAAAATATTGAAATAGTTCTATGGTTACCCCAAACCCTCAGAGTACCCGTCCCACTCTAGCTCTTACCCTGGGACCCCCCAAATCCAGCAACTAAAGAGTTAACCCCTGTCCACACAGGGACTTGCCAGACCTGGTTTCTGTGCTCCAGGTGGCATCTGTTCTGGTTGGTTCTTGCCCTGTGCAGTACTGTTGTTGAATGACTCAGCAATCACCCCTGACTCTGGGATTTAAAACACTGGGATTCAATTTCCAATTAAGATAACACAACTCCATTGAAACTGCCTTTATGTCCGCAGTGATATCCTAATTTTTTTCTTAGTCTTTACTGTCTTCAAACTTTTCTTTGACTCCCTTTCTTTCTTGAAACTTCACTCTCTTATTCTCTGCAACCTTTTCATGATTTCCATCAATTTTTACTCATCTTTCTTTTGGTGATTCCTCCACTGTTTTTTCTATACTTGATTCTCAACTATATCTGAGAATTCTTTCACCATCATTTCTAGTGTTGCAACTTCCATTTTAGCTTTGGTTTTTATTATTAACTTCCCGAAAGCCATCTTATTGCCTTCTTTTTTTTTTTTTTTTTTTTTTGCGGTACGCGGACCTCTCACTGTTGTGACCTCTCCCGTTGCGGAGCACAGGCTCCGGACGCGCAGGCTCAGTGGCCATGGCTCACGGGCACAGCCGCTCCGCGGCATGTGGGATCTTCCCGGACCGGGGCACGAACCCGTGTCCCCTGCATCGGCAGGCAGACTCTCAACCACTGCGTCACCAGGGAAGCCCCTTATTGCCTTCTTTTTACCAGTTTATAAATGATTCCCAGTCAGATTCAAGTGCAGACTCCTTGCTTGATTCTGAAGACTGCTTATCATTCAGCCCCATCTTCCTTTTATTTCCTACTTCACTGCAACTAAAAGTGATCTATACTTTTTAATCAGTCCTGTCTTACTCTTCCTTGATACATGGTCCATACTTGTTCTGTTATTCCTTCAACTTATATTAATTAAATATTATGTGCTGGACATCACATTGAGTGCTCTTGACTTTGCAAGTATTATTACTTCTGGCTGGAAAACATTTAATTTTCTTGATAATCGTGTTCTTATCTATCTCCATATCCCATATTAGAGTCCTGTGCTTTCTGGAGATTTCTTGACTCTTCTATGGTGGTCTTACCCATTTCTGACTTGCCTGTGTTCTTATAAAATATTATATCTAACTATATTTTTTGTTATCTTTCACACTGTTTCTTGTGTATTATACTCTTCTGGTTACAAGTGAATGAAACCCTGCTAGTGTATTTTGATGTTATGGAGAGTAGATGATTCAGATAGACCTAGCTGTTCAATTGATATTATAAGGCCCCATCATTTAGGCAGATTCTTTTTTTTTTTGTGCGGTACGCGGGCCTCTCACTGTTGTGGCCTTTCCTGTTGCAGAGCAGAGGCTCTGGACGCGCAGGCTCAGCGGCCATGGCTCACGGGCCTAGCCACTGTGCGGCATGTGGGATCCTCCTGGACCGGGGCACAAACCCGTGTCCCCTGCATCGACAGGCGGACTCCCAACCACTGTGCCACCAGGGAAGCCCAGGCAGATTCTTAATACATGGTATCAGAGAAGGCCACAACCAGCCACAGGCCCATATTTTTCTTATCATTCATAATCTCACAAAAGGAGAGGTCCTTGATTTTGTGTCAGTCCCCTCAAAGAACTCTGATTGGCCTTGATGGCTTAATGAATTCACCCCTGGATCAGTCAGCGTCCAGAGGATCCATGGTGCTTGCCACTGTGGGTCAGACTAGAAAACCCCACTAAAACCACAGGTAGTTGGGGAGATGTAGTTCCTAAAAGAAAAAGAAGTTGAGCAAATAGACAAAAAAGAAACAGCTACTGCCACAGCTGGAAACAGGAAGGAAGGATAGAGCATGTAGTGTGTGTTAGATATTATACTGGAAGGTGTGCATGTTGTCACTCATTGAAGTCTCATAACAACCTTAGGTTATAGGATTAGCAAGGTTAGGAACACAGGAAGATAAACAGGGTGGAATAAAAATAGAAGCTACTGTCTTTTACATGTGTACCTCACCGAACTGGGAGATGGATAGGGACTTCTATACTATTGTTGGCTTATAATGGCAACCCTTTATTCTCTTGAGGGAGTTCCATGATAGGTACTTTTCATGCATTACAGATCACTTGTAATTTTCATAACATGCTCTTGAGCACGGTCTTATTTCTGGAAAGCTCAGTATCTTGCCCAAAGACATAAAAATCTGATTTGCATCCAGGTTTGTGACTTTCTAAGGGTCAGTTGGATTGTTTTATCTTTAGCTCTTTTTGTTAGACATGAGTCTGTTAACAACAACAACAAATTAATACATGGAGACCAAAACCTCATAGGTCACATAGTGTCCAGCAAGAACCACTAGAGTCATATCTTCTCCCTGTGTGTCATTAGTAATGTGTACAGAGACAGGACAGCAGGATGCATGCCTGGGGCATGGACTTCATGAAGAATGACTCAGAAGTAGGCCAATGAGACCACGAAAAGAAACATCAAAACACCCTGATTGGGCTTCCCTGGTGGCACAGTGGTTAAGAATCCGCCTGCCAATGCAGGGGACATGGGTCCGAGACCTGGTTCGGGAAGATCCCACATGCAGTGGAGCAACAAAGCCCGTGTTCCACAACTACTGAGCCTGTGCTCTAGAGCCCGTGAGCCACAGCTACTGAAGCCTGGGCGCCTAGAGCCCATGCTCCGCAACAAGAGAAACCACCGTAGTGAGAAGCCCATGCACCGCAACGAAGAGTAGCCCCCATTCTCTGTAACTAGAGAAAGCCTGCGTGCAGCAACGAAGACCCAACGCAGCCAAAAATAAATAAATAAATAAATTTAAAAACAAGAACACCCTAATTGCTTTTAATTTGAACTAGCCCAGCCTGATTCTGTGCGTGTACATTTTGCTCTAAAGAATTAGATACCATCTGAATAAACAGACAAACACAAAAACGGCAACACGAGAAAACAGCGTGTCCCATGTCATCTTCTAATCTAGGTCATCATCTTTTTATAGTTTGATAAGAGCCAAGAAGAAGAGTTTTTGATTTTTTGTTTTTCCTCCTAATGTGCCTTAGGCCCAAGTTGACTTCTTTGTGGAGCGCTTAACTTGGGCTCACATAACTGCGGTGAATTCCACACAGTAAATCCTTCCAAAGGCAGGGCATTACTTAGATAGCTGGACCAAAGACTGCTCAGTTATGTTTGCAACTACAATTAGATGATTTTTAAAAGTTAAGCCTTCAAGAGCCTCTGTGGTACCCAGTAATAGTAGTCTAGAATTTTATTCTAAATAAAGTGTAATATAATTATGTAGGGATGTTTCCTGAACATTAGATCACGTCTTTTCTTTAAACCAGTTGGCCCTAAGTTTGTTGATTAATGTCCATAGACCGATATGTGATCACAGCGAGTTCCGTGCTCTGTAAAAAATGCTTGTATTTTCTTTCTTGGCCTGATATTAAAATGAAACCAGTAATTCTTCCTGTATTTGAAAGGAAAGCACATTGTGACACTCAGCAATAACATAATTGTTACTTTTTGTGACTAAATGATATTGCTTTTTTTGATATTCCACCCACTCACCATTTCAGTGTCCACAGTTCCTAGAGAGGAATTGAAAACTGTTTCTTGCTGTTTAAGGGGAACATAATGTTTGGCAAACACAAAGAGGGTAATAAAGGCATCTTTACTGGCAAAGTTTCTCCAGAGAGTTTAGTCCTAGGGTTGCTGTACACTTATGCCAAGTTGGATAGCTCTTGAGAGTAGCTTCATGTTTCTCTAAATGTACTTGGCCAGTAAAGTTGTCCTAGTCTCTTTTGCACTGATCAGTCTTGTCCCTTGTATATGTTGGACACCTAAAGCCATTCAGAACACCCAAGTCACCTGAGGACCTTATGAAAGTGGAGATTCAGATTCAGTAGTTGGCTGAGTTGTGGCCTGAGATACTGCATTTCTAAAAAGCTCTCAGGTGATGTCAGTGCTGCTGTCTGTGGACCACACTTTGCATAACAAGGATCTAGACTGTGCTCCATAGTAGAGGGGTATGCCCATGAATCTTGTTCATACCTACCTGGTATCTCACACACCTGGCAAGGTGACCGGTACCCAACAGATGCTCAGTATATATTTGTTGAATGAATGAGAGAACTTCCTGTATCTAAATTTATTATCACCTATAGCAGACATGTCCTAGAAAAATCCAGAGATTATTAAAAATAAATAAATAAAAGCAAAGATAAGGTAAACTTATTTTAGTCTTTCCACCTGACATTCATCCTCATTGCTGTAATCCCTGCACTCATTGGCTTGCTAATATTCATGGCTGATTCCAGAATCAGCAAGCTGGGCCCATTGGGTAGATGGTTGCTAGGGGTTCGATTCCAGTGATTGATTGTTTGCCCATCAGATACCTATTTTGCATCTTTTGGATGATGGATATAAAATAGTCTTGGGTATTAATCTTTAAGTAGGAGTTATAATCTGGATGTATAAAATGAAGTATTATTACAAGTATTATTTTATGAATATATGGAAAGGAGTAACTTAAAGAGATATTCAATTCAGATATTTTTTCTTACTCATGGGGAATGAAGCAAACACACTTAAGTTGTTTATTTCCCCCCCCGAAACTTTTTTCCCCACATTCTTGCAATCTTTAACCAAAATATGTTAATATTATAAAAGCAAAGCAATTTCATGCTTTTCCGTTCTCAAGACTATTTGAAAAATGTCACCTGAGACATGGAGTGCTGAATCAGGGAGCATGGGAGTCTATGTCTGTTCTTTCCTTGCTCTGGGCTCAGAGCAGGCTCTCAGTAAATGACTTGAGTGACAGAAGCTGACAAGGTGATCTGGATATTTAAGCCCTCAATTATTTTAAATTGGGGGTAATCATGGCAAGTTTTCTCTTGAAGAATCCAAATCATTGTTTTGACTCTTCACTTTAGTATATAACCCCAAGCTGAACATCATTAAAGTTCTATTTTTTTTCCCAAGAATTGACTTCTAGAAGAATAATACTGGAAAAAATAAAAGTAAATAGAATACTTTGCTGTAGGACTTCCCAGAGTGATTAATGCTAATATGCATTGGGAATCCCCAATAATCATTTCTCAAACTTACTTGACCCTGCAAGCCCCTTTTCACAGAGCATTTGGGTTCTGTGCACTTCGGGAAAAGCTGTTTTATGTTGTATTTCACTTACCCCATCTCTAAGGAAGGCCTACAGTTATCTGCTTTGAGAGCTTGCTTATTTGTGAAACACAATCTAGATGAGTATTTGAAGATCTCACTACACAACTTATTTTAGAATATCAGTTATAAATAACATTTAAAGATATTCCGATGAAGATGCTTTGGCGATTGGGAATAAAATGTTGCTCTGCCTTCTAAAACTCCACTTTTCAGGATGTTACAGCATATGTCTTAAGTATTTTTTCTCTCTATTCTGGACCAGTGCTTGAGTTACTGAGCATGTGCATTTAGTATCTATTTTGAAAGGCAACATCCATGTACAACATTGAGCCATATCAGGACTTGTGAGATAGTTTCCTTCTGTAGTCCTCCTTAAATATGTTTTTAGTCATTTATCTTAGTTTTAGAGGTTTTAAAAAAAGAAAAATTTATTCTCCCTGAATTCCTCAAACTGAAGCAGTAGAGAAGGTGTGACCATGGCAGTCATTTTCTTTGCCTTTATTTTTCATGCTTATATTTCCTCATGTCTTTCTCTGTTTTTTTTTTTTTTTTTTTTTTTTTTTGTGGGGGGGTACGCGTGCCTCTCACTGTTGTGGCCTCTCCCGTTGTGGAGCACAGGCTCCGGACGCGCAGGCTCAGTGGCCATGGCTCACGGGCCCAGCCGCTCTGCGGCATGTGGGATCTTCCCGGACCGGGGCACGAACCCGTGTCCCCTGCATCGGCAGGCAGACTCTAAACCACTGCACCACCAGGGAAGCCCCCTCATGTCTTTCTCTGGTTCAGCATTTTGAATATCTTCTTGGGCAGAATCAATAGATCATCTAATATGTCTGTGTATTTTGCATCTCTTCTCCTCCCTAGATCTTACTGATATTCTCCCATCTCCTTTTCTCTATGCTTTTGATTTTAGGTATGGGTTCTTGAAATTGACTTCTTATTGTAAGAACAGAAATATAAATAAGGACAGAAGAAACAGATCTTTATTAAAGTGATTTCCACAATATACATTTTTCTTTCTTTCATCTTTTTTTCTTTCTTTTTTTTTTTTTGGTATTTTGGGACATCTGTGGCTAAAGTAAAATAAGTTTGGGAGGAAATACAAAGACTGGTTAATTTAAGAAAATTAGTAAAAGTTAAAATATTATTTTTAAAATGTGTTCCAACATTTGGTGAGATTTTTAACTCGGATATGTATAGGTCAATAGGATTTTCTATGTTTCCAACTCCATTCTGATCTTTCTTTAGCAGTATGTAATTTTTAGAAGTCCAGTGAAAAGCTCCTTTTTAACCCATTTAGAAGTTGGCAGCTGTGGTAATTGCTAACTTAAAGCCTTAGAAATTGACTGAGAGGAAAGCTGAGGGTTTCTTTTCCCCTTGCCTGCGTGATTAAGACCTGAAATTTTAACAAACGCTATCAAGAATTTAAGGTGTAAAATATGGGACTACAAAGCGTATTGCAGTACACGACATATTTATACATGTATATATACATACGTCTATACATGTAAATATAGTTACTTTAGACTTGAATCTGAAATCTCAGAAGATTTTGGCCGCTGGATCACCGTGGGCAACTGCCTGCACAAGACCCCCGTGCTGGCGGACACCGCCTGCCTCTTCACCCTGCTGGCGCCGCCCCTGGATTACTCCCACTATATCTCGCTGCCCGCGGGTGTGCTGAGCCAGGCCTCCTGCACCCGCTACGGCATCTCCTGGCAGTTCGACCCCTGCTGCAGGTACCTGGTGGAGTACGACGCCTACAGACTGTCCCGGCTGCCCCTGCACACACTCACCTCCTCCACCCTGGTGGTGCTGGTCCTGAAGGACGACTTGCACAGGAAGAGACTGCACAACACGATAGCACTGGCGGCTCTGGTGTACTACGTCAAGAAGATTTACGAGCTCTGCGCTGTATGATCGGGGCGGAGTAGGGGGAGCAGGCAGCCCGGCCCGCGAGGTGGCATAGCACCCGTGCTGCTCTGTGAGGCAGCGGAGCCCTGGTAGGCATCCGGCTTCACGTTTGTTATTTTAAAGAAATAACAGATCACAAGTGTACCACGGTTTTTTTTTAGCTCATCACACTAAGATGTGGATTTCCGTAACCCACGGGGGCCTGAGGCTGTGGAAGTCTGACCGGGCAGCAGGATGTGATGGAAGCAATGCTACAGTGGGGATGTGAATGCGCCGGGGGAGGGGAGGGGTGTCGTTAAGTATGTTGTTTACCTGTATTTGTACCATCCAGAGCCAACCAGAAGCTATTGACCATTGAAATTATGAGAATTTCAAAAAAAAAAAGGAAAGGAATGTTGGCCCTTTCACACTTAATTTACAGTTAACTCTTGTAAAGATTGCACTTAGATATTTGTAAATGCTGAAAGATTGTATCTCAATAAAGAGGGGAAATCTATATTATATTGATTAGTTTTAATAGAGATCTATCTTTTAATGTGTTTTAAAGAAATCATGTAGTCTTAAGGCCTTCATGGGGGTAAATAAAATTGTTACTAGTGGGTAGATTGGAGTGATGTGATTGGGGTGGGCATCATAATTATCTATGTGGCTTTTCAAGTTTTCTATAATGAGCATGTCAATTTTATAGTCAGAAAAAATCTTGATTTAAAATGACTCTCATTTATTTATGAAGGCTCTTATGAACTTCTGGAAGTTTTTTTTTTTTTTTTTTCCATAGCCTTCTCGTTATTGCTGCTCTTTTTATCTACAGTTATCACAGCTTAGAACTCAAATGAGTCACTAAGGAAGACTCCCTACATTCGTCAGCTTGGCCTGCTATAACAAAATACCACAGACTGGGTGATTTAAAAAACAGAAATTTATTTTCTCACAGTTCTGTAGGCTGGAAGTCTGAGATCAGGGTGGCAACATGGTTGGATTCCTGTGAGAGCTCTATTCCTGGCTTGCAGATGGCTACCTTCTTGCTGTGTTCTCACATGGCAGAGAGAGTAAACAAACTCTCTGGTATCTCTTCTTATGAGGGTGCTAATCCCATCATAAGAACTCCATTTTCATGACCCCATCTAATCCTGATTACCTCCCAAAGGCCTCATCTCCAAATATAGTCACACTAGGGGTTAGTGCTTCAACATATAAATTCTGGAGGCACGTAGACATTTAGTCCATAACATTCTCCTTGCCCAAATTGGCAGTATACAAGATTTCCAGATATGCATCTAAAATAGGAAAAGACTGGCAGGCGATACATAAAAACATGATAGTTATCACTGGATGGTAGAAGTAGAGGGGATTTTCTCCATTTACTGTGAATTTAAAGTATATTATTATACTTTTATAACTGAAAAAAATACAATAAATATTTTTAAAGTAAAATGAAATACTACAGAATGTAACATTCCATAATAGTCTTGCAAATTTCAGAATTGTTTTCTTTCATCTTCTTGGGGGTCTTCCTGAGAATTAATAAAGGCGTCTTCAGCACTTAGAGCCCCCAGATACGGGCACACAGTGGAGCTCAATAAGCAGCTGTTGCTGCTCCTCACTGTTTCTCTTTTAACAGTGATGGCGATGTCAGTGATAGTAATAATGATTATCATGTTGCTACAGGCATATAATATAGGAAAATAAAATAGAAAATAGCCACAAAATCAGGACAGACATGTTTGTTGAAAAGTTTTTTCTATGAGTTGTTATGAATAGAATGCCCCATTCATTGTCTTTACTTCTGGAACTCTTTAGTCTTTTAGATTCTAAAAAATGGTAAAAAAAAAAAATGCATTGGTGGCTCATTTTTTATTAAATTTCAATTACAAATATAATATAAGCTCCTTGAATCTGCACAATAAAATGTCAGGTAGATAGTGACAGTCAGAAAACTTGAAGTCAAACTTTCAGTGTGTTTCATTCCAAGGACTGATATGAGTCTCATACCTGAGGTTTGAGGAAATGTTTTTTTCCTCTATAAGAGTTCTCTCTTCTCTACTTTCTAATGCATCATTTCTTATTATGCTCTATCTTGTGTGTGGAGTCTGTCATTTCCTTTTTAAAAAAAATTCTCTATGGTTTTTCCTCAATCCCACATTTCAGTGCAATATTTCTAGTTTTTTAACTCTGTAAATCAATGGGTTAGAAATGCCCTTCAAGGTAGTAATGCTTTTTGTCACGCAGTCAGCTGACTGCTTGCCAAATAAATCATGGTGTGATATATTATTTCCAGTTGCTATAAATTTTCAATATTTAGTGTATCAGTCATACTAAGTCGTGATTCAGTTATTTAATTTCACTTATGTCTGTATTTTAGATGAGAATCCTTTTCCCCATTAGTAGATTTTAATTTCCTTCTCTTTCACAGTCAAATTCCAAGCATGCCGTATAAAACCAGCCACAGAATACACACATGAACAAACCGTTTTTGTATTTGCAAGTAGACTGAAAAATATACACTGGTAAACTATATCTGAAATTACAAATTCGTCTATTTAAATGACGTTTTTGTTTTCTAATACTTTAGATCACTTTTATCACTATTGCTTTGGTAATTTGATTCCCAGATATGAGACAAACATATCTAGGTAACTCTCTGTATTGTATTGACATATGCTGTTTACTGGGAGCTTAAAAAATCTCACAAGTGATCTTCAGAAGTGAAAAAAATAAATTGTTCTGAATTCAAGGCTATGTCTACACCCTGATTAATGTATTACTACTGAAACTGCTTTCTGAAACTCTGTTTTGTTAATATTAAAAAAACAATTTTCTTTCTCTTCTTTTTTACCAACAGGACACAAAAATCGCTTCATTGGAGCGAAACATAAGGGATCTTGAGGATGAGATCCAGATGTTAAAAGCCAATGGTGTGCTGAACACTGAGGACCGCGAAGAAGAGATAAAACAAATAGAGGTTTACAAAAGTCACTCCAAGTTCATGAAAACCAAGGTATGGTCCACAATTATAAACTTTTATATTCTTAGTGTGACTGGAAAGTTATGGTTTAAATACATGCTTTCCCCAGATACCCATATAATCTGCTTTATGTGATATATGAAATATATGGACAATAAAGAAGAATGAAGAAGATTTTTAGTTCAGAAGCATGGATTCCAGAAAGAAACCAGGGAAAGCTTTTGGTAGAATTTCTACTTACTGAGGGGTTCAGGATTTCCTAATGATTTCTTTGGTGTCCCTCTTTCATGGAAATTAACATTTATTTTTAATAGTCCTGTCTCTTCCAAATTTTTTGAGTTTTCATAAGTTTGCTATTTTTAAAAATTTCAATCATTGCCCAATTTTTGGCCCATCCCTGGAAGGTGATTGTCTTAAGACGTGTTGATCTTGGCTTAAAAGGTGTTGATCTTGGAAGCCAATTTAACTGATTTCAAAGGTATGAAGGTTTTAATGTAGTATTTAAGAGAGAACTGATTTTGAGTCCCAATGCTGAAATTATTCAATGTCTGTAATCCTCAGTTTCTTCATCCATGAAATATGGATAAGAAAAAGAAAATGCCTTCATTGTTGGGTTGCTTTGACAATTCCAGGAGATTATGCATTTAAAGCACTTAGTCCCTTGAGTGATCTCTAAAACGCATTCAATAAACGTCAGCCATTGTTGTTGAGAGTGTTGTTATTACTGTTACCTGTTGGTGTGGAATATTTATGAAATATTGTTAGAGTAATATGTTCCATTATTTTATATCAGTATTGCCAGTTTTAAAGAATTTGGTTTGTATTTTTCAAAATGAAACCTTGGGTTGCAAATGGACCAATCATCTGAAAATCTATTATTTTTATATATGCATAATTATTAAATTTATGAACAGCCTAATAGGCCTTTTGAGACTTTGAAATGCTTTTATTTATTCCTCTATTTAAGCTATCTTCTTTGTGAAGATAATAATCACACCAGTTAAAAATTTTTTTTTTTTCCTACCACTTGCTCTTAAATACCCCTGTTCTTATTGTAGGTTTTACTACTGTTTGTTGCTTTATAAAACACTACAGAGTTAAGAGTGATGCAGACTTCTGTGAGAAAGCAGTGGGAGTTGAGAGGAAAAATGCTTAGATGATGGTTATGATTTTTATCAGTTGTGAAATACATGCATAGTCATTGCAGAGAATTTTCAAAATTAGAGGAAATAATATCTAGCATCTGCTTCACTGTGTGTGTTTGTATGTGTGTGTGTGTGTGTTTCTCTAGGAAATAAACAAAAACTATGCTTACTTCTGCCAGCTTCCATCTGTTAGTTGAAGTTGAGATTGTGACTAAAAATTTGTATCAAGGAGCAGAGATAAGAAGAATGTCCAGTGTAGTTGAATATAACCCCTTCCTTTCAGAGATGACCACAAAATGCAGAGCGGGTTTCCCTGCTCCGTCCTCCCTTCTGGTTTCTTTATTGCAGTCCTTCCTCATAGAGAGCTGAGCCGATGTGCAGCAAGCACAGTAGTAGGCTGGCCTGCAGACAATGACCAGATCACTCTAGGAATGAAGACCAGATGCACAGATATGAGTGAACTCATGGAGTTTGGGGGAAATTATTGTTTTGGCTGAAACTTTTCCTCCGCATCCTGTCCTGTTATTCAGCAGTGGGAAATAGTTCAAGCCACTTCTACAACTGAAAAGGCAATGAAATTTGTTAACTCTGCCCCTCACCATAGATTGTGTCCAGGTGAATAAAACATGTATATGGTCTTCAGCAAGCAAGTCATGACCTTTATTAACCCATAGTCTTCTGAGACACCATCAATCCTTGAGCTAGTTTTAACGTTTATGGTTAGTTACTTTCAAGGGTTCCCAAAGTGGTTAGGTCAGAAGGATGTTTGAGGAGAGAAATGGAGTTAGGTGAAAAGAGTGCAGGCTGAGGACTAAAGCAGACTCTGGCAAATCTCTAGCCTGCCCTTTAGCTCCATGGCCTTGAGGAGTGACTTAAGTCACTCAGCCACATTTTCCTCTTCTGTAAAGTGGGGACAACAATGTAAATCTTAGAGGGTGACTCAAAGTGTTAAATGAAATAATGTAGTTAAAGCACCTGGTTCAAAAAAGTAGCTAATAACAATATCCATTATTATTGAAGACATATAACCAAATATAATAATAATTATAATAATAGTAATATAAATGTTATATTTAACTTGACTAACAGGGAAAAAATGGATTTCTAAGAAATATAAATAAAAATGATTTCTTATAATATCATGCAGATATCTCTTATAGACTGATAAGAACATTACCTAAAAAGTACTAGTAAGAGTTAGTTTTTAATATTTTCTCCATTGAAAGAATATTTTTATTGGATTGAACTGTAACATTTATTGCTTATACCTCGTATCATTACCTCAGTTGCTTTTTTTTCTTACCTTTCCTACTTTTGAGAGGGTAGTGTGATTCCTTATTTAAGCCTGGGTGTGGTTGAACAGGTCTATTAAGACATAGTTATTGCTAAGCGTTTAGTCCTGAGTGCTTGTGTTTTGTGCTTTGTGAGATCCCTTAGGCTGTGTGAACTGATTCTAGTTGGGTGAATAATTTATCATGGAACTTGTTAAATTTTAGAGGCATAGACTGATATCCTCTAAAATGGGATTGCTCTCATAGTTCATGGTCCATTGTAGCCTATTTGGATAACTTTTCTACAAAGCTTATATGAATATGTTGCTTATCAACATCATCACACATATCCGAGGAGTTAATTTTTACAATAGTTGGTTACACACATTGACAAGAAAACTGTTTAGTGTCACCAGTGGAGTCTCTTGAATTCTTTTGTTTGTTCAGAGTTATATGGATAAAGCTTTCAATATTGGATTTTGAGCTCTGTGGTCCCTAAAGGGGCACTAAAAGTGGTGCACGTTTAAAGTATTTCCCATTTCCCAATACTGACCACTTAGTTGGGAAGGTAAGAAATGTACTCAAAATACTACCCTGAAGATTTGATGGGAGGAGAGTCCATTTCTGGCTGGAGTAATGCAAGTTGTGTAAGTTTAGTGTTAGCGGTTTTTTTTTTTTGTCTAAATAATCAGATTGGTAAGACCACATTGACAGGTCTGGTGAAGAATGCACACTCAAATCAATGTCTGAGCAAACCTAGAAGGATAAGTGAAAATACCATTCCACCCCCAACTCCACACAGATAAGGAAGTAGGAAGAACTCAAGTCTATGTGAAATGATAGGCTTTTCCAAAAGAGTAAAGAAATACTAGATTTAAACTGCGAAAATCTAGAGGCTCTAAAACATACATGGGAAATGGAAATGTAGTTGTTAAACTTATTGGGTTTACTGTGATAGAAGCAGTGATAGAAATGGAAATCATAAGGTGACTTTGGATCCTGTCTGGCTAGAAAATGCTAGGTTTGAGGCAGGGACAGTTGACTTTAGAAACTTGTTTTAATAGTTCATAAAGACTCGAAGGGTCATGGTAGAGGAACATTTCAGAAATTCTTATGAAATGCTGCACAAGAGGGGCAGTGGAACTCTTTGGAAACCAAACCTGAATTTGCAGCTAAATATTGTTACTTCTTCTTGCTGCTTGTAGTGAATACGTAGAAAGCTTTTGAGTGCCCCAGAGAACTTTTCTTTCACCAGGTCCTTTGGAGAGGCACCTTCAGGCTGATCACTGTTTATAAAGGTGCCAGGCTTAGAGGTGCTCTTTAATCTGAGCATTTCTTTAATAGAGGTCTAAATGTTTTCTATCATGATTACTTGGAAGCTTATTATTTTTTTAAATTGAAAAAAGGTTTAAAAATTCAGCCTAATCATAAAAAATAGCTCCTATAATATCTATGTTCTTGTTTGCTTTTTTTTTTTTTTTTTTTTTTGCGGTACGCGGACCTCTCACTGTTGTGGCCTCTCCCGCCGCGGAGCACAGGCTCCGGACGCGCAGGCTCAGCGGCCATAGCTCACGGGCCCAGCCGCTCCGCAGCATGTGGGATCTTCCCGGACCGGGGCACGAACCCGTGTCCCCTGCATCGGCAGGCGGACTCTAAACCACTGCGCCACCAGGGAAGCCCGTTTGCTTATATTTTTGAAGTTTTAGCTGAAAATTATTTTTATGACCCATTGGTAATAAAATTGACTCAGCATTTGATTCCTCTTCATTAACAGGGCATGATCTCAATCAATCTCAATCTCAGTATGCAACTATTTGCTCCAAATAGATAATAAAGGCAGCTAATAATAATTCTTATGTACAGACTCATTTTCAGAAATAGAAATAAGTTGAAATAGATAATTTTAAATGTTTCAATGAAAATTTGACATGGAAACAATGTTGTATGAAAAGGAAGTGCTGCTTGCATTAATTATTAAAATGAATAAAGAATGTAGCTGGAGGGAAAGAAAGTATTTTAAGTAGCCATGTGAAATGGCATGCGCCTCCAGTTTGATGTTGAGCAGATGGCTGGGACTGGTAGGTCCTCTTGAAAGCTTTGTGATTAAATTAAGTAGCAGTGAAGACCTAAATTGCTTTTATAAATATGACATCATAGAATAAACATGACATAACATTTTTGGAATAATAGAAGGTGAATTGCAAAAAATGTAAAAGCAGAGTTTGGAATCTCAGCTTGTGCAAAGGCAGGGATACCAGACATAGTCAGCCAGGATTGAAATCCATGCATCTTGCAAGCCCTTTGGCACATGCACGTTGTCCCTGAGAACTGAGGCGCTGGGAGACCTTCCTAGCTGTGCAACTCTCCCCTGTTCGAAACTCCAGTTTCTACCCCCTACTCCCAAGGCATAGAGGAATCAGACTGTGAGGGCAAAATCTAAGAGGTAGTGGAAAGCATGAGTTACCTTCAGGAGCACTGTTAAGCCTTTAAGAATGGAATGTACCATATAAATAAT